CGTTGGTGCCTCCTAGGTGCTCATCAACATTTGGTTCAAATTTGACCTTGACGTTTCCTTTACCCACGGCAAGAACACTCTTCCTCTTGGTCTTCTGACAGGGTTCGCTAATCATCATCTCTAATTTAATCAAGGGACCTTGCCCTTCACCCTGTGCAACCACAACCGGCCACTTGGACTGAAGGTTTGCCTGGACAGACACCACCATTTCATCCAATGAGGACACAGTAACTGAAAAATCCTTGGGATCATAAATGTCTAATGGTGTCACCGAACCATCACTGAACAAAATCCAAGAACTGACTATTGCTTCCTAAGAAAAATGAAACCAAAGCATTATGTTATAATCAGGTTCCTTCAAATTGCAAACATAAATACGACTTCCTATATAATATCATTTAAATATACAGATGGAGAAAAATAAACTTCTATGGTTTAAATCTTGAACTGTTCCTGGCATGCCTTGAACTGACATCAATAACATACTACTGCTCCACTGATATGCGAAGCAAATAATATACTTTAATGAATGCATTAAGGTGCATATTAATTTATTGCATGCCGCACAACAGAAGTTGACTTTGACCTTTCTAAAAAACATTTCGAAAGATCAGGCAATTTATCTGAATCAAGATCAGGTGCAACTAATCAGGCTACTGCTCCAGATAATATCGCTTTGAACATTCTTTATTAGGAAGCCAGTGCTGATGAAGCGAAACGCGCACTGGGTAAGGAGCCTGGGGAAAGATGCCTTATGGGAAGGAGCTCACCGGAAAGGCACAGCACCCTGGTGTCTTTATAAACACTCGTTATGAGTTTAAAGATGGAGGAGAGCTTCAGAGTTCGCAATGACCATAAACGGTAGCGATTTGGGGCCCATCAGCCACGCGTGTTCAAGCAGCTGACGTGGAATTTCCAAGTATCAAAACCACCTGCTTTGGCAAATGGAAAAACCTGTGATCCTATGGTCATGGGACAGCAGAGTGTGCCAAGCACAGATAAGGCTGCTGCAAAGCGAGTGGAGTATGGACGCATGGTTGACGTATAAAACCATGAATGAGGAAAACGTATCTAAGTCGCTGGTATTTTTCTCGAAAAAAGGCAGGGCCATCTGGATAAGAAGCAGGAAGGAGCTTCACGGACCACCCATCCTAGCTTCAACTGATGCCCTCTGCAGATGCGCGGAGGAGGGAAGTGGTCTCAAACGACCGGGGACAAAAGGACTCTGGGATCCCACCTGCTGCGGGGCTCGGAGAACGTCCTGGGCAGCCACCATCGAGACAATGGCTCTTTTGTCCGTTCTGTGAGGCTTCAGGGCAAGAGACAAGCCAGCCACCAGCTGCACGCCCAGGTCGGCGATGGTGACGCGGTCATCCAGGACGATCACCGTCTTCTCGGCCAGGATGGAGTCAGAGAGCGGGGAGAGGACCTTCAAAGGAAGCGACCAAGCTCCAGTGTGTGCTCCACTCAGTGGTTTTAAACTCCTAACTGACCTTTTCCATCAGCGTGTTCCCTCAGTTGTCTGCCAAGTGAGTGCGCTTGGAGAACTCTGTAGGGAAGGGTTATGCTATGGTCCAGTGACACTCGCCAACTGGAGGAGTTTGACAAACATCATGTTGGTCCATTTCCTTGCCTTTGACTCCTGCCGTGACAACCACAGTGTATTTTCTGAGAAGAGCTCAATTTCACATAGAGACAAGAGCTCAAAGTTGCCCACCCTGGGACCAGGCACTCAAAGAGCAACGGTTTCCCAACAACTAATATTTAGATGTGAAAATGGCGGAATGGGCCATCTTCTCCTGCTCACATCCTTCCAGTGGGCAATTAGCTGTGCACTATGGGACAACAGTGACCGTGGTGTGGGCCACTGTGTCACCCCTGGAGAGACCACGTAAGCCAAGTGGAGGAGGGATTGTTAACGTACTGAGAAGTCACTCCTTCTAATTTACCATCTAGTCTGCAACCAGTGGTGCTTAGCAAATGGACAGGAACATCCAGCAGGCAGAATTTCCAGAACTGCCCCCCTCCCCGCCGCCCCGAAGATGTCCTCACTAAATTCTCAAACCTGGGAATGTGATGAGAAATCACTTCTCATGATTACGTTGGCGTTTCTACGGCAGGTGCACCTTCAGACAGGGAGCTCATCCTGGATTATCCGGGGTGGGGTGTAATGAACATCACAAAGGTTCAAAGTGTGAGAAGGATTTGACCCAGCTATTACTGCTGATGGAGGGACCACATGAGACATGACGTGGGTGGCCCCTCTGGGAGCAGTGAGTGGCCCCTGTTAACAGTCCACGAGGAAACAGACTCCTCAGTCCCACACCCGTGAGGGACTGCATTCTGCTAACAAGGTGAATGAGCTGGGAAGCAAATCCTTCCCAAAGCCCCCAGAGAAGCCCAGCCTGGCCATTACCTTCACCGCAGCCTTGTGATAGCCTCAGCAGAGAACCCAGCCCAGCTCTCGTCGACTCCTGACCTACAGAACTGAGTTCATAAATGAGGCGTGCTTTGAGCCGCTCGTTTTGTGATAACGTGCTACGGAAGAATAATACAAAATATTGCACGTTTCACCCAGTTTCGTCAACATTGGCCGTGGCACCACCTAAAATATGACTTAATTAACTACGAGTGGTAACACTTTACATTTTTGCTAGAAAACGTGCTGCAGCATCTCTGCATAATTATGCCATTCAAACTGACCGGGAAAATAGTTTTACTCTTACTCTAGTAAAATACAGAGCACTTCGTTGTGGATTTTTAAATTATTTTTAGTGCAAACATGTTATTTAAGAATTTACTGTCCACGGGGCGCCTGGGTGGCTCAGTCGGTTGAGCGTCCGACTTCAGCTCAGCTCGTGATCTCACAGTTCGTGGGTTCAAGCCTCGCATCGGGCTCTGTGCTGACAGCTCGGAGCCTGGAGCCCGATTTGGATTCTGTGTCTCTCTCTCTCTGCCTCTCCCCGACTCATGCTCTGTCTGTCTCTCTCTCTCTCTCTCTCAAAAATAAACATTAAAAAAACTTTTTTTTTACTTTCTGTCCACTGTTCAAAGTGTAACATATAGCTAAGTGGTTAACCCTCAAGGTTACGAAAATAAAACTAGTTTTCTCGGGTTTGACCGTCTTCTATTAGTGGTATATGAAGAGTAAATTATCGTTCTGGGGGAAAGGTGGCTTCCACTGTGCGTTTAATTTAGCTTTGGCGGTAAAAGAGATTAGGGATTTTTTTTTCCCCTCAACTCTCCCTGAAATGCAAAAATTAATTTAAGTTAGATTATGAAAATTGGTGAATGTTCTACGGCCGGTCATGATTCTCTTGTGCGTGTGCACACGCACGCACACACACACACCTGCCCGGCGCCATCTACCTGGACGCTCGTCAGTACAGACTGGGGCTGGGGCTGGGGCTGGGGCCCTGGCAAGGAGTGCGTGGCCCGTACCTGCACGGTGGTTATCCCCGGCTCCCGGCCCACCAGGGTCCTGCCGCCCTGCAGCTGCGCAATCCTTGGTTCCTCCACCTTCATGAAATCCGTCACCAGGTCAGTGATGTCAAACTGCCAGTCGGGGCCCAGCATGTAGCTCAGCTGACTCAAGTCGGGCGCCTCGGCCACAAACTGGGTGAGGACACGCACCGTGGCGTGCTGGTACTGCAGGGAACAGCCTCGCCCCTTCTTCTCCTCGTCCTCCTCGTCCTCACTCTCCCGGGTGGGCCTGGGGACACAGACAAACCAGGATAAACGCCGCGGCCGTGGAGAAGCTTCGCACGCCTCACCTTCCAGCTTCTCTGGAAGCGTCAGAACACGTGGCGTGGTTTTGCTACCCGCCAGGCCCGCGCACCATGGGTTCGTTCCCCGTCTGTTCCCTTTCGGTGGTCCCTGTGCACCTGCTTGGAGCACGGAAGGCGAGCGCCGCCCCTGCCTTCACGCGCCCAGCATGCGCCCAGCACCGCGGGATATGCTGCCCCCAAAGAGGCAGAGGTTGAGTCCCCGCCCTGCCTTCTGGAACTCTGTGGTTTGAAACTGTCCCCGCTGCGGGAACCGTGAGGTCCCGGGTCAGAAGAGCTGCTGGGCCCAGTTTTCACTCCTCACGGGAGTCCCACACAGGCCCAGGCAGCGAGATTGGCTGCCCCCCCTGCTCCCTACAGGGGTGCGGTCAGGTGTGAGCGGGGGAGGATGGCCCCTGAGGATGGCTCAGCCCTGTCTCCTGGCTGGCCCTGGACAGGGAGACCAGAGTGCCCTTTCTCACCCCCTGGCCCACCCGTGGCACTCAGTCACAGAGCTGCTGAGGGGTTCCTGTGGGAATCTCAGGCGCCCTGGCTCAGAGGACCTCAACTGCCGCCCCGCCTGTGCACGGCCCCAGGGGAAAGTCCTCGATGGCTCTGCTATTCCAGGACCTTCCCCTCGAGAGGAACCTGTCCTGTGTGCTTTTGCAAGAGCACCTTGCTTGGTGAAGGGTCTACGACCGTGGGCAGACAGGGGTGGCAGGGGAGCCAGGGGCTGTAATTCACTCACATCGAGTCAGCCCTACTATGCGCTGGGTCTGGGTCTACCCACTCACGGGATCATAGCGCTGACAGGGCTAGCCATCTAGGGGCGGGGTCCACGCCCAGGCTGCTGTGCCCCTCGGTGCCCTCTTCCTCCTTATAGTGACCTCCCTGCATCTTCAAAACAGCCATGAAAGAGGTTCCTATTTCTACACGAAGCCGCCGAGGCTCGGAGTGCTTAATACACGGCCTGGACAGCTGGTGATCAGCAAATTTACAGAGTTCCGTTTGACTTCGGAAACCCACCTTCTTTAAAATGTACCCTCCTGCCTCCCTGAAAGGTCTGGGAACCATGTGGAAAGGAATGGTGTGTAACCAGCATCCATAAAGAAGCATGTTGTGGTTTCCCAAAGCGAGGAGTAAACATCTGTGCTGGTAAGTGAGCTGGTTTTAGTGGCAAAGGGACATATCACCAAAAACACGCAATGACATTGCGCAAAGTTATTCCCATTCTACTTTTCAGTCCTTCCGATTTGATCACGGGGAAGGAAAGTCTCTGGGGGCTGGGCTGTCCCTGAAGCTTATCTGACACTTGCTGGTCGACTCATGAAAGACCAGCTCAGCCAGGGGCACCCTGGTGGTTCAGCTGGTGAAGCGTCCGACCCTTGGTTTCAGCTCAGGTCATGACCTCGTGGTTTGCGAGATGGAGCCCTACATCAGGCTCTGTGCTGACAGTGGGGAGCCCTCTTGGGATTCTCTCTCTCCCTCTCGCTCTGTTCCTTCCCTGTTCTCTCTTTCTCAAGAGAAAGAAACAAATTAAAAAAAAAAAAAAAAGACCAACTCATACAAACAGCAGTATCTATACAGAATGTAACACCGACGTTTTCTTTTCTCTGCATTAATTTCTACCAGTTGGCCATTTTTGATAGTTATGTAAAATTTCCCTTAAGTAAGTGAATAAAAGCGAAAAAAAGAACAATATTAAGTATATATTACAGGTGGCATTCAAAAGGGGCAATATCATAAAAGTGGTGAGTGAATAAATGAAGTATTAGAAATACTGTATTAATCAAACCATTCTGTCATTTTGGGACAGATAGCATTCTATTTTTTTTTAAGTTTAAATTTTGGGGCACCTGGGTGGCTCAGTTGGTTGAGCGGCAGACTCTTAATTTTGGGTGAGGTCATATCTCATGGTGTGTGAATTTCAGCCCTGAGTTGGGCTCTGCACTGACAGCACGGAGCCTGCTTGGGATTCTCCTTCTCTCTCTTTCTCTCTCTCTCTCAAAAATAAACTTGAAAAAGGTTAAATTTTTCATTAATTAGAAATTCACTGTAAGTTAAAAAATCACGTACAGGGAGTTCTCATATGCTCTTTGCTCTGCTAACATCTTGCATGATCACAGTATAATCCCAAGACCAGGAAACGGACATTGGGACAAACCACAGGGCTTATTCAGATTTTCACAGTTTAACCAGTGCATGTGCGCGTGTGTGGTTCTATGCAGTTTTATCACCAGAGGATTCACGTGACCATAGCCACGACCGAAACACAGAACTAGTCCGTCCCCACGGGGATGCCCTGGGCTACCCCATGATAGTCTATGCAATCCCTAATCCACGGTGACCTCCAGTCTGTTTTCCAATTTCTAGATCATTCTACATGGGACCATGCAGTATGTACTGTCTTAAAATGCCGGTAAGGGTGTGAATGGAGTAACTAGCTGACATACATGTGGCTGCTGGGAGAGTGAAATGGTACATCCTCTGGAAAATAGTTCGGCAGTTTCTTCTAAAATTAACTACGCCCTTATCACGCAACCCAACAGTTACACCCTTGGGCACCTTCCCCAGAAAACTTATGCTCACACACAAGCTTGCACAGGAGGGTCATGGCGGCTCCATCCATGAGAGCCGCCACCTGGTGACAGCATGCGTGGCCTCCTGTGGACAATTCAGTACACTAAGACGATACCCCCCACGGATCACCCCTCAACAATACAACTACAGGAATGCTCGATACCACCAACAACTGGGGTGGATCTCAAGGACTTCTGCTGGATAAAAACAAGTCCATTCGAAAAGGTCACACACTGAACGGTACCACCTTCCCGCTAGAGAAACCTCTGCTTTCAAGGGCCACCTGGATACTCCCCACATCTTAATGTGTGGGATTAATTAATTAATTAATTAATCAATCAATGGATTCAGCACTTTAATTCCATCTGTAAAATCCCTTCATAGACGTTCCAGGTTGGGGTTTGAGTGAACAGCCAGGAGGTGGGAATCTTACAGAGGAGTCGTCTTTAGAAGTCTGGGTACTACACTTTGTCATTTTGCCCTTGGGACAACTCTCTTCAGTGATATCGTCACCTCCAATTTATAGATGAAGAAACTGAGGAACAGAGAGGTTCATCAACTGGCCCAAGGTCACACAGCTCTACGTGGGAAAGCTCACAAGGGTGAAAACTTCAGCAGCTTCATGCGAGAGCCCACAACGTAACCCTTGCGCCAGGCTCCGCGGATGGAGGTCGACATTTATAAGCAGGGAACTGAAAACGAGCAGCACAGGAAGGAACGATGGGGAAGCGGGGAATAGAAAGAAACGCCTACACCCCGTGCTCTGTGCTTTGTGTGCAGCGCAACATTATACTGAGTCCCAGCAACTGTGCCACGAGCTGGACACTATCCGTATCTCCGTGAGGCCCTCCTCACGTCAAAGGCTTAGTACGTGCCCAAAGTCAGACCCCTCTGAGCCCCAGTCCGAGACCGCCGCGACCCCCTGCGGGCGCATCTTCCCGGGGATCCGGGCGCCAGGACTCAGCCCTCCCTCGGCTGCTCACCTTCTGTTGGAGGCCACGGGGACCCTCCATCCCTTGATCTGGCTCAGCTCCGTGTCCGAGATCTCAATCTGCAGGGGGAGCCTGGGCGCCCACACGGTCACTTCCAGCTGAGACGTGAAGTGCTGGTGGGTGAAGTTCACGGTCGTGTCCACTTTGCTCCTCACCTCCTTCCCGTTCACGAAAATGGAGTCACAGTGGTTGGAAACCTTTGGGAGAAGTGAGAATCTCGAGATGCATCCGGGAAAACACCGGCGGCAAGGAGGCAGAGAAAGTTTGCAAACTCTGATTTATTAGTCGCCGAGACAATAGCGTCTCATCTGTTGGTAATTCCAACAAAAGGTAATTTGTAGGCACTAATTGGCGACAAATACTGATAAACAGACTCCAAGAAAACCATTTTGCGTTACGAAATACTGACAAGTAAAACCATAAACATAATTTAATGGAGTTCTATAACCTTTGTTGCTTCTTTTGTGGGTTGTTTTTCCCCTCTACCTCACCTTCTTTATGTACTCAAACCACCACTAATCAAACCCCAGGTGCAACATATTTCACTTCACCATGTTTGAAGATGCATAAAAGGTAGCCATATGTCGCTTTAGAAAAACGACTTTATTCAAGCCATACAAACCAAGAAAGCTTGGCACTGCGTTAAAATCCTTGTAGGAAATACTCCCGAAATGGGGATATAATTATTTGTGCCCCCATTAAACTGCACTTTTGCAGACTGGAAGTGAGGATGTAGCATTTTGCTACGGTTTTTTGACTCGGCACCTGGCAGGGGGTGGGGGGCACCCTCTTAACGTGCACGTGTTAGCAGGTTATGTATCGGACGATTTAAGCCTCTATCTCACTCCACCCCTTCCGGATAAACAAGTAAAATGTTGATGACGTCTCTCCTGGACCTTCCAGAAAATGTCACTGAGGTTTGTAGGTGGGGAGGGTGTGGAGGGGGCAAGGGTCACCTCCAGGTGCAGGGGACACCGAAACCAAGAATTCACCACAGAATCGCAACAGCGAGGGGTCGACAGTCTCATTCTACAGGTGAAGGAGCTGAGGCCAGGGATGTGGTCCAACTGGCTCGGGCCACACGCTGCTTTCGGGGTCCCACGTCAGTCTGAGCCACTGGTAGACCTGAGTGCCACCAGGCAGTGTGATGTGTGAGCCACAAACAAGCACTTACTTCTGACCTTGTCTTCCTCACCTGAGTCGGTACCCACAGCCCAGGCCTCCCTTCCGAGCCCCAGACGCTTGTGTCCCGAGCAAGGTCAGAAGTGCCAACTTCCAAACTCCAAGAGCAAACCTCCTTGTTGTTGTTGTTGTTTTTTAATGTTTTATTGTATTTTTGGGAGAAAGACAGAGTATGAGCAGGGGAGGGGCAGAGAGAGAGGAGACACAGAACCCAGAGCAGGCTCCAGGCTCCGAGCTGTCAGCACAGAGCCCGACACGGGGCTCGAACTCACGGACCGTGAGATCATGACCTGAGCCAAAGTCGGAAGCTTGACCGACTGAGCCGCCCAGGCGCCCCTTCAGCCATCTTTAAGTAGATCTGACCAAGGCCACTAGCAGAGACATGGACTGAAATCCCAGTGACACTGACTGGGTAACCCTGGTCCTCAAAGCAGTGAGCGGGGTGCTGCAGGGTGGCCGTGTCAAGCTGGCTCCTGTGAGGACTGGGAAGTCTGAAGTCTGTGCCCTCCAGGGACAAGGGAGAAGAGAAAGGCTGACGGGAGCAAATCAGCTGTCTCCAGGGGCATGCCCGAGGAACGTAAATCGGCAGGATTGTACCCAGGATTTCGAAGAGAGCGAGACTTTCGATGAGAGCAGAAATAGAAGGTTAAAACTCGTTCTTACTTCAAGATCCCGTGACACTGACACGATGCCGGGCCCGGCTGCCCTTCCCTCAGACACTCAGAAAGGGGTGGGAGCCCCATTTCAGAGAAACCGCTGGCTCAGGTGGACGGCACCGATTCTAGAACCTTCCCGGTCCTACCTCCTACAGAACAGACCTCAACCCTCCCGCACTTGTGGAAAATTCAGGTTCCCCTTGGCTCTGGCTTTCCACCCACCCTCATGCCCCCTGTAAATCACCTCAAAACAACACATCCCACCATCAGGAACGCACCTGTTTTGGAAACCGCGAGGCCCTTTCTGTGCCTAAGAAATAAAATCTCGACACAGTGACAGTCTATATACCCCTTCGGGGCTCATGCAGACTTCAACCTGCCTCATCGTTCGGGCAGTGAGGGATGGCCTGAGTGGACGAACTTAAATGAAGAATGTAACAACGTCAGAGGCCCTCGAAATGCACTTGGTTTCTTTCTCCTGGGACGTGCCTACCCTTACAAGAAAGTGTGTGTCACCGTCCTTGATTAACTCAATTAAAACAGCTCAGATGAGGTCGGTCAGATGAGGTCGGCGCCCTTACAAGAAGAGACCCCAGAAAGCTGAATTCCTTCCTCTGCTCCCTCACCTGAGAACAGCACCAGGAGAAGCGGTCTGTAAACTAGGGTGGGGGAGGCTCTCCCCAAACGCCCACACTCCGATCTCAGACTCCCCAGCTTTCAAAACCGCCAAGAAAGACGTTTGTTTGTGGATAAGCCTCATTATTTGTGGACTCCGTGTTCTCGAATTTACCTACCGCTCCCACCCCTGTCCCGGCAACGTGTGGAAGCTGGCGGGGCGTGAGCTCTGAGTCACCTGCCCCACGCACAGGCTCCCAGCGGCCGATGCTCTGTCCTCTTGTCTCAGCCCCTCACACACAGACGACCAGGGGTTGGACACGGGAGGGGGGCAGGGCTCCGGCTGGGGGGGCAGGTGCACGGGGCTCCAATCCCTGCGCTAGCTCCCGGTTAGTTGGGGGGTGCGGGTGGTTCAGGCAAGCCACTGCACGCTTCCCAACCTCATCCTCTCTTTTGCAAAATGAAGAGGCTCTCCCAGGAGGAGTTGTTTCTAGGATTCAAGACGACAGCCTACGGGAGGTGTGTATGCGTGTGTATCTCCCCCTGAAGGTTCAGTATTTGCTAATTCAGTGTTCGCGGGGACTTTTCCAGGACACGACTTGCGCGAATAACGCGGGCTGATTAGTAGGCACCTAGCGTTTGCCTCGGACCTCTCCGCCTGCGGCCTTCTCCCCTCTTGATGCGAGCCAGGCATCACAACCCTCACCCCACCTGCATCGAATCCTCGATAGAAAAGGGAGCGTCACGTGCGACGGCGTCGAGGGTACGTGCGCAGCAATGCGACCCTGGCCCAGGGCTCTTTCCTCCGCCCGCTCACACGTCGGGCCTCTCCCGCGACTTCCGAGGCACGCGGGACAAAATGCAAACTCGCGATTACAGTTTCTGGACGCGCCTCCCCCAGGCTTCCCCGCACACACCCCG